GGCAAGATTGGATCTTATTAGCAGATCAAGTTATCTATAGATTTAAATGTCTTAAATATTTCTTGAGGGGTCAATAATTCACTCAAAATTCAGATTATTTATATTTATCATTTCCAAATAAATCTACATTATCCAAGAATGATTCGCAATATCTTATCTTGGACCACAAAACCATATTTGGCTGGTTGGAATTAGATAGTTTAATTTATTTTCAGTTCAAGAGGTGAATAAATGGAACAAAATAGTTTGATGATAGGCCCATAAGTGGCGAATGCGACGAGGTTGGAAGACATGCGTGGGATGATATGTATGAGAGCCATAAAGAGCAATTAATGTTTTTTGAAGATGTTGTCTGCATCACATGATGACGAAGTTTCTACTTCTTAAATTTCATTTTGTTTTACCATACATTCCAATCAACTTTGTCTCAGAGTAAAAAAAGACAAAAATTTTGAAGCTTTATATAAATATTACTTTCTCAGATTTGCGTAGCCTATTTTGTGGTTTCATCCCATTAAACTGCCTTAACACTTTACTTTACAATTCCATTACCCTTACCCTACCATACCTGCCTTAAAATTTGTAAGATAAGGTACCTTCTATATACCTTACTATATAAAACCTTGTTTTACGCCAGAATTGAAATTTGAAAAACTAGACTTGTAAATTAAACCTAAGAAATTGCATACCATTTAAACAAAGCAAATCAGATAAAACCTCTATAATTTGTACCTACAAATTATAGAGGAAGAATTTAATTCTAAAATCAAACAAACTAATCTGTCTTATAACATCGTCCTACCATTTTTTGAAAAAGTGATAGCCGTTATAGGGGTTGATATCGCCAACAAGTATAAAAAATTGGGAGTAAAGTACTAATAATGGATGTTATCACCGATAAACCACTGAGATATTGTTAAATGGAGAAAAATTTTTTTATTTAAATTATTATTCCATCATTTCGTTATTGTGTATCCAAAGAGCGGTGCTTTTGTTTACAACAAGAAGTCCCGATTCCTAGGGAAATTTTAAATAAAAATGGATGAACTTGAATGACAATAAATGGTATAATCAAAAAGTCCTGCATTTAAATCATTTTCTTCCTTCAAAAAAGTAACTGATGAAATATCTTGAATCTCGAATCCTTCGAGTTCCTCCACTTCAAACGATAACTCCTGAAAGCACCTTTTTTTTAAAAAGAGTTTATATGATCTACAATCAAGAGTGTAAAAAAAGGCACTGATTTCGGTTTTTTTTTAAAGAACTCGCAACCTCCAAAATGTCTAGTTACTTTAAATGAATACCTTTTATTGCAAGTATATAATTTAACTTTGGAAATTTATTTTGAATCTTTGGCACGCTCAAAAGAAAAGAAAAATCTCAGACGAAAAGTAGCAGTCGTGCCGATATTTTTTGCACTTGCTGAATTCGTAACGACAATGATAGCATCAAATACTGCTTATCAACTTATCAACCAGCCAAAGACACTATTATTTTATCAACACACAATCCTTTCATCGCCATGCAGGAACTTTGCTAAAAAGTACAAAAGATAATCATATATATAATAATTATATATTATATATATATATATATATATATATAATTGTTATATATGTATATATATATATAAATACATAAAAATATATATATATATACATGTAAATTCCAGCAACTGAATGTGAAACCATCAAAAATCCGTCATTTTCAGGAAATGCATTTTGCAACAAACTGCATACACAAATATGCATGCAATGCTTGCATTACCCATCAGGTTCAATCTGTTTAGAAATGAAATGAAAATTATATTAATCATAAGATGTGGTGTCATCTCATGAAGGCACAAATCATTGAATCGAAATAATTGTTGCATTTAGTGGAAGCAATAGGAAAGAGAAAAAGGAATTCTTGTCGTTTGTGATTGTTTTTTTCTTCTTATTTGATTTATGAAAATTGAAATTTGCTACGAGGAAGAGATAATGATAGCATATGACAGCAATCAACGTTACAATGTAAGAAGAGAAGGAAGGCAAGGAAAGGAAGGAAGAAAGAAATTGATCAATACCAAGTGTCATCATTTGTAATTATGTGAAATGAATGTTACGGCATCTTAGAAGTAAAGGTCAAAGTTCAAGGCTATCTTGAACATTACTGAAACATTCCAAAGACCAGAAAACTTCTTCGTTCCTGTGGAATTAGCCAAATACATAACAAATGCAATGATACTCGAGTTTTAACTCATATTTTTTGCTATCATCGCTATTTTTTGATACATTTCCAGCATATTAGTGCTTAATGTTCTAGTTGAAACATATTATTACAGTACCTAACTTATTACAGATTCCATTTCTGAAAACATCATTTCAACCGAAAAGATATTTGTGATTCCTCTTTGCTTACTCATGGAAAAAGCTTCCGATGAGTAATAAAAAAATGGTGTATGCTATTTGATCCGTGATTACAAGTTAATTAAACAAAACGATCAAATGATCACAGGGATGATTGATCTCTTCTAACATAATCATGATGCATTACCGTTGAATGATCAGTCCGAACGATCGCAATTACTGTCTAATCCTAATTCAATTCTTGCTTTTTTTTCTGTAATACTAATCAATCATTTATTGATTTACTTCTTATAAAAATATTTCAACTGTTTTTTATCATTAAAATTTCAAATAGATGAAAATTAGAGAGAGCTGTATCTATTGAGTATGCGTTTCTGAAAACGACTTATAGAAGATACATGTATTTCTTGCCCTCTTTCAGATCAATTCTTTCTCTCATTTACCCATGAGTACACTATTTCTCATTGCTTCATTCAAAATTGAGCAATCGAAACAATTCCTTATGCAATTTTCACTTCTTAAATAACTACTGAAAAAAAAAAAAAACCCTAACCGTAGTAGTTTGGTTGCAATTTTATTGTAGCGCAATTTCATATTTTTCATATTAAATCTTTTAGTCATAGAGTCATTTGGAGTTGAAATTGAAGCGATAACGATATAAAATTCTTTATGCCATATATCGAAACTAACGTGATGTGGTTCTATTTTCTTTTTATACATATTTATTTTCTGGATGTTTGCTCACATTCAGAAGAACAAAGTGTAATTCTTTTACTACTGGAGAGTGTATTGAACAACAGTGATTCAAAAATGTCAATCATATTTGTTTTAGATCTAAGATCAAGGTACAAAAATCACTGATAAAATTATTTGGCCATTGCTATCCCTTTTATTTGTCATGCGAAAAAATTTCAATGATGATTTCATCGGTAATTTCGGCAGTAAAATCTTATTTTCATTGCAAACATGAATCCATTCCCTTATTATTGAAATTTCGCGATAGTTAGCATAGCGTGATGGACGGAAGGAAATTTGAATAAGGAGAATTATGAACTGGAATTACTATCGATGTGCACACTTCTTCCGATAGTGCTTTAGGTAAACTGGTACATCATCGTCGTCGTCGCCAGCGATATCATCAAATATTTTTAACCAAATGCAATCATTGAATTGAAATTAAATTTGGTATAGAAGCAAGTGGGATATGTTAACTGTTGTCCCATAAATTAATTGTACTGAACTATTTCATCTTTCTTCCCATTACAACATCCTGATCTTATCCTTTCAATGTCATTTTTTCTGTATAAATCCAAGGGAAGAAAAAAAGTGAAATAAAAATCGGTTCGATGGGTTCATCAAATTGTACCAATCTCTTCCTCGTACGATAATAATAATAACTTTCTGAACTTAGAAAAGATACACGAACTTGAATGAAATATGTGAAGCGAATATTACAATCTCTTATAAAGTCCAATTTTTCATTTCTATCAGTAGAATGTCGTTTCATTTCATGATTCATTTTCAATCTTAGTAAGACTTGCTGATAAACTTTGAATTGATTAGGACGGTGAGGAGAGTGTAAGCAAAGGTTGTTGATGATAATAATGTCAACATTGTTCCATACACATAATAATCGTTGCTCAGTAATAATTATTTCAGATGTGTTTGTAAGTGATGGGAAGACGAAACCATTCTCCTCAATTTCTCTGATTGTTATCATATTTTCAGCTTTGTTGGTAGTGATCTGTGAAGGTCAACAACAATCGTGGTTATATATCAACAGATATGACGAAGTGTAAATGTGGTATAGTTCTATTTTATCATTTACTCTTTCTTCTTTTTTTAAACTGTCTAAATTAATCTTTCAGTTCTACACTGAAATGCTACCACTGCTCATCCAGGATATACTAATGACTATTTCATTACAATTCCATCAGAATTTGGAGTGTTGGCAGAACTGTTCATAAGCAGCTGAGATGATAAGCAGCTAATAAGCGGAAAGCTTTAGTTAATTAGTGCTGTCTCGTTGAGCTGCTATTGCTAGTTTGCTTACCTTTTGTTCTATTAATTGATGAAATACCATGACAGCTGTTTTTTGTCAACTGCATCCTGCGTTAGTATTATGCACAAAATTGACCGAAACGGACTGTAAAGGGTCAAGATTTAATCCCTTCGTTCTATTAATTGATGAAGTACTACGACAGCTGTTTTTGTTAATTACATCCTGCGTTTGTATTATGCATAAAATTGGCCGAAGCAGACTGTAAAGGATCAAGGTTTAATCCCTCCCGTTTTATTTTGATGAAGGTGCTCTGCTTAAGCCTAATTAATCGAAAAAAGATGGTCTCCAATTGTCCTTTCACGCAGATGGTCATCAACCAGATCACTTTACTTCCTCTGACTTTTTGTGCTTTTTTCGGTCACGTCTTGGATTTTCAAGTCTTTGAAAGAAAAAAACCATGAAGGGATGTGTTTCATCTGCTTAATGTTCGCAAGAAATATGTGAGCAGTATCTGTAATTTCAAAAATCAAATTTCTGACCAAAAAATAGCATGGTAATATCAGACGAGATTGTTGCGCAATAAAAGCAAATGTTAAATGAACTGCTAAAGCATTTCTGATCTAAGGACCATACCATAATTGACTTGATAATAAATCGATACCATTTTATTTGGAGAACTACCTTATTTAAGCTCGGAGAGAATTTATTTCGTATTGAACATTTATTTGCACTATACTATTTTAGAATAGAAGTAGGGTTTTGTTTCGAAAATTCAAGCTTAAAGTTTACACTAAGCTGTATTCCACCCTCTACGGAACAAATTACTGCAATTCATTTCTGCCATCTTTTTCAGGATGTCAGGAAGGGAAAGAATGCAAATGTAAAGAATGTCCAGACAAATCAGCTGAGAAACCAAAATGTAAGTCGACCTTTTTCATGTTTCTTACTGTTACATTATAAATATCAAACCAATAAATTGACATCTTCTTGGGAATATTAAAAATTGCTGTAATTTCAAATTTTCAAATAATTTAAAAAGTTCTATACATTTCGAATTGATGAAGTTTGCAAATTGGCAGAGGAATAGACATTTACAAGCTTTTAAGTGTTCTGGTATAAACCAGTACATGAAAACATTTATCACGTACGGAAAATCTGAATGGCAGTTTCCGGATAGTTTAAAGGAATATAAAAGGTTTTTTTCATATCACAATTCATAATGCGAATACTCGTTTCTCTGAGAAGCTTTAGGCTAGCTAATCGATAGCAAATAGTAATCCCAGATTAGCTAGTTGATAGCAAATACACATGCTTATCGAACTCTTAGAATACGGCAAGAAAACTGTGGAATGGTTTTTGTTAATTATGCATGGGTAATTTTTCCCAGTCATTTTTGCATGCGAATGGTAATGCTGTCATTTTTTGCAAGCAGATGGTAATGCTGTTGACCTTTCGACCTTTTACGATCTAAATGATTTGCCTCCCTTCCTCCATGCATACAATACACATGCCAATCGAACTCTTATCTATACAGGGATTCAATGTACTCAATAAGTGAGAAAAATTTTATTTTTTATTCCATCGTTATACTTTCCCTGATTCCATTGTGCTTCCTACATCTTTAGGTGCGGGATCATGCCATGGTGCTGGTACCGGTACTCATCAGGAGAAGAGCCAAGATAATGCCGCGATGGGCAAGTGCTGCGCAGAAGGAAGCAACAAGCATTGCCATTCGGAGAAATGATGAACTGATCGACGAGTGGATGGATTTTATTTGGTAAATCTTTGGAATTCAAATCAGCCAATTTAATTAAAGTAGGAAAGTGAAGAAATGATTGGGAAACTGCCCAAATAATAAAAAAAAAAACAACTTATATATTAAAATATATTCACCAGCGTGATTGATCTTGATCGATTCCTTTAACCTTGAGTCATCACGAGGTAATCACTCCTACCGGAAAGAAATCCTTCTAACTCGTCAACTGATACATGGCTTTCGCGCTGCACAACACTACCTTCCCTTTGGTTTTCCAAATTCTCTGTCCCTTTATCAAATTGTATCTGATAAAATCCTCCGATCCTCCTCTGACCAAAGGTCATCGAATCGCGTTGGGAGGAAGCATCTATCCTTAGCTAAGTGCCAAGAGTTATAGTATTTATTGCATTTCGTTACTGCCATCATATCCGATACACAACGAATCGCAGCAGTCCTGCTGTACTATTTCAGGATTTCCTCACCGTCGAAACAATTCAGAGAAGATACATTTGAATGAAAAGAAGATTTTCAAATCTCTCAGTTATCGGTCTTCACAATTCAATTCAATTTTTTCAAGTTATTTTTGATAAACCCAATAGAAAGAGACATCCCTAGTAAATAACATTGATTTTTTATACCCAAGTAGATACCTGCCCCTTTTTATTTTAAATCATATCATCAGACTGAATATTCATATATTACCTTCTTCGAGAATAAATGAGTTCTGTTGAAAGCAGCTGCAATATTGTCATGATAGCAGAAGCTCGCGGTAGAATTGCTACCTTTATGAGGAAATCAGGTAGGCCTTTCAAGAAGTCACACTTTATCCGGGTTCTACTGAATAAACCTCCATTGGGATAGGTCCATCCATTACCCACATATGACATAATGGAAATATGTGGAACAAATTTTTGGTAACATCATATAGGTGAGACCACGGACCTTCTCAAATATGTATTCCCTTTCACTTAAACTGACATCAATATCACTCACTAACTCCGTATGATGATCATTTATTGATCCAGGAATTCTAATCATCTGTCTTATCTTAGATTTATTCTGTCAACCCATTTGATTCACATCGACAGTTAAAAACTTCTAGCCAGAAAAAAGTAAGCAAGTTCCTCAAATATTTCTTCAAACAAGAGAGATAAAACCATATAACAGAGCAATGACATTGAAACTAATCAACAAACAATAACAGTCGTTAAAAGGAAATCACTGGGATCTTAGTCGAAAAACGCAACATGAAAATATACAAACACAAACCATGGCCTAGTCTTTATAGTATAGTACTTAAGAAAGTGAATGCCAGACACCTAAAAGGTACGGAATACCGAGCATTTACGCACCCGAGAAGTTCAAAACTGATAAATGCAATATCTCTTATAGTCTTATATACTAAATATGATTTAATTTAATCACGCATTCGCTTTAATTCCTAATATAATGCTTTTAATGCCAACAATATGCGATAGCATTTATCGCCTATCACTCACTAACATAGAAATTTAACACGTGAACAGTAAGAGTTCATTGCCTAATAAACATTAATGATGTTCATGATTTCGTCGAATAAAATAGCTTGCAAAACATGAAAACATTCAAAGCTAAACTTGACAACATTCCCAGCACACAAATGATGTTAAACAATGTAAATTTTGGTGGATCAGGTGTGATACTTAATGATGCTATCGTTGACGGAGCAAATGATTTCACGTAGCGTGAGCCAGGAAGATGCATTCCATTATCTAAAAATATTCCTTCTCGCGTATCACGAATTCGCAAACGAGGTTCTGCCAATACTGGTTTTTTCATAGAATCGAAAGGACCTATAAAAATTATATGCTTATTGATGAAATTACGGAAAAATAATCTTAAGTACTTTTATTAGGACATTTACATTATAACGACTAAGAAAATGGAAAAGAAAATTTAAAAATAGAATTTCCTTCAAAGTATCACCTCGCCGTTGCTGCAAAATTGGTGTTCTGTAGCAAGAACTCAAATTATCACCAAGTGATAAGGAATTGAAGAGCTGTCCCAATTCTTTCGCAGGCGTTGATTCTTGAGATGAGATAGTTTTATCTCGCACACTTCCCGAAAACGATATACTTCTACCAGTATGAGCAGACAAGGTGCTACATTGCGATACCGGAGTACTTGCTATTGAAAATGCACTAAAAACACAACATATCTTGAACGTTTTAGATGACTTCGTATTTATTATAATTATATAAACGTATGCATAACTAAATGAGAGAATATAAATGCCCTTATTGGCAAGCATTAATTGGCAATGAAGGATAGTTGTTCATCTGACCTTCTATGTCTCATTTCACATCCAATTAGACTCGCGTATTAAAAACTTTTTTTATTTCCATAGCATCGAATGAATTATTATTCTACAAATGAAATATAACTAAATAGGGTAAAATCTTCACATGCCGGAGGTATCCATAATGTCTACAACTCAAGTAAATCTCACTGTAAATTTTACAGTAGCTTCAAGCTACTAGTTTCAAAATTTGGGCTAGCAAATATTAGCGGATACCTTTTTATGATACTGTTTGGCCGTTTCCGATGTAATAATTTTCGAGGAAAAAATGCAACAGCAAATGAAACTATACATAGTATAGACACGAAACTTAACTGCGAATGGAACGATTCCAGCTTTTCACCTTCATTACTTTTTAGGAATAATAATACACACCTGAAATCGTTATTTAATTCTTAAGATTGATATTTAAAATAGAGCGGTGTGAACCGTCATTTATATCTGAATCAACAACTGTTCACGAACTTACCTGAAATGTAACGTACCATGTACTTTGAATAGAAAAATGATGCACGTCGCCATGTTAAAACTCGACATTAATCGATAGTAAATGTATAATATAGAATTAATGAAGATTGGGATACAGTGACGCAAAACTGCATCACTATATCTGAATGTTCAAAGAAATTGCTCTGGAAAGCTATCGTAGAGGCAATAAATGTTTGGTAAATATCTAAAAAATGTCCCTAAACACCTGGCCAATCATTATAAAGCAGAATACTAACCAAATAAAAAATGAGACGATATCAGGCAAGGATCGTCGAGCATGCATTACAATCACTGAGGTAATATGTGAACTGAGGCCGAGGAGAATTATCTTCGTAATATGGAACATCAGAAATGGTATCCATGAAGACAGCACATAACAAGGTAACAACTGACTCAAGTCGAACAACTAAAAAGATTATTTGAAATATGCTGCTTGTAGATTTCAACGGTGTTGATAGTTGAACTCAAAAGAAAATATGATAATCATCTTGACAAGAGGACAACTCCAAGTATTAAAAGTTAGAACTCACATAAGCAGTAGTAGTATTATTCTGTAGCTGCAGTAAATAAACAACGAAAAGACAACAAGAAATAGAAAATGTGATCATATTTAAACAGTTTGCGACAGGTCCACAATTAAAAAGTGCTGCACGACGGCATCGGTGACTGCGACCACCTCGTGGTACTTCACTGATCTACGAATTAAATATTAAAATGACATGAAGAAAAGCTGCTTTATTCGACAGTTTTCTGTATGAAAGAATTAAAATTTTTGGTCTTACAACTTTATCTCATTCATAACCTTCGGGTCTCTAGCTTTAGTTACTTTAGCTTATGTTACAATGCTCAGCTCTTTGCTCAGTTTTCATTGCTCAGTTCTTTTCTGCAGAGCACAGCATACTTTCTTCAGTGTAAATTCCTTTTAAAACTGAAATTAAAATGAAAGCACCTCAGAGAAGTATTTTTGAGATGACGGTCGATGACGGGTAGAAGTAAGGTCCGAAACAGTGCGATTGATCTGTAGTTGATTTAAACCAAATTTCTGTAATAACAGCAGCTATCAATTTAAAGAATTCATTAATAAAGTAATTCAGAACGACAGCTAATTATATAAAAAATGTAACTCCTCTGTCTTTTTAAGGTCTTTAAAACCAGTAAAAAGTTCTCAGAGAATCACTTTAGCATTATGATATGCGGTAAAAGAAGTTACGGGACACTTTTTCCTTATCCTCCAAATATCTGAACTAGTTCATCAAAATTTGAAATTAAAAACAGTTATTAAGTTCGAAATTTCAAAATATCGCTTTTAGTCGTCTACAGAAAGGAATGTAAGCGAATTATACGGGATATATAAAGCGACCTTGTCGAGTTCCAATTTTCTTTGCACGAACTGCTCACAATCACTGCAAAGCGGATAACTCTTATGTAAACGTGTTTTATATACTTCGAACTCGCCATCGAAATTTGCCTTAAAATGTACAGCCAGGTCAAAACAAAAACAAGAAAAAAACAGAAAAGAAAAGAAATAAAACGATATATGGTCGCAAAGACAGCCGATTATATAGTAAGATCTTTCTCAGAGCCTTTGCACAATCCAGTCTCACTAAAAAAAGATTATGACTAATTATGCGATTAAACATAAGAAAAACCTCATTTCGAGGTTCAAATTTGTTGATTTGTGATTGAATACGTGCCTGCTGCGTGTTGCATCTTTGACATAAACCACTAGCAGTGATTGATTCGCGATTTCCATTTATCTTAATATTATCGATATCATTTTAACGATACAAATTTGGTTAATTAAACAGAGGTTTACTGAGTAGCAAAACAATGCCTATATTGACGAAAAATGTCTTCAACTAAATCAAACGCACGTTTTGCGATACTAAAACCAAAACTAATATTCATGATCCCAGTGTTTTAAAATTCTTTAAAAGGAAATATTAAACAAGGATAGCCCTTCAATTAAACATTGCCATAATTATATTTTGGAATGCAACAAGAATTGTTCGACATATGTGGCTACTTTACCAACAAAAATATTCAAGATACTATGGCAAACTCGTGATTTATTTATCACTGTCAACACTACATAAACTTCTCCAAGCTTCAATAAGAAAAACCTTTTTTTTAGGAATCGGATTTAGAAATTCGTATTTTTGCTCTGGAATGAATCGATCATAATCGCCATCTTCCTTGAAACCGTTATACTGCCCACACTTAGGACAAACAAATGCTTTTTGACTGCAATAAGAGACGCGAACATTCTCATTGCAAAACCAACAATTTACCATCGCTTTCCAAAATGGCCTACAATAAATCTTACTTTTCGATAGCAAACGGTTGCAAGAAAAGATGAATTGAATTTCCCAATATGGAAAATACTTCAACTACAACTTACCTAAAGATATGGTACAGGACATAAAAAATAAGAGCAATAAAAAGGATAAGAGAGCCAGCGCTCCACGATAATGCGTCCCCTACCATCCCTGAAAAGCGGTGTAAACCATCAGGAAGAACCAGTAACACCTCCTACTCGCACTGACTAGATCTGCAAAAAAACTCCATGAACTAAAATTTAAATTTATAGCAATAATGTTTTATATAAATCATGATATAAATATTTCTCCAATCTTCTGATAAACACTCATGTCTCGAAACTGATAATTTCGAAATCTCGCAAATCGTATTTACTGATTCGAACAGGTAATAACCATACAAAAAGAAATTCTCGAGGAAGAAGTCTTTTTTTAGTGCAACAGTTTAACTTTATTAAGTTCATTCTGGATACATAAGTAGGATGAAAAACTTAAAACTAATGATCATTCCTTAGCAGCTGTAAATTTTTTCAAGAAATAAATCTAAAGCGTACAAATAAAAGGTAAATACAAGTATGAAAGTTTTTAGTATCACTACATATCAAGTGAGATATACAGTTCACTTTGTAGCTCTGAAAGAACAATGAAACTATCGTTCGCTTGTATCAGTAAGAAGAAAAGAACAAATTATATTAACCGATGGAAAACATAAAGAATGAATGTAACTGGAAATATCTACGAAAAAAAAAGAGAGATCAAAAAAACTTCCGATGAAAAAGTTGTGGAAAAAGTAGAAGTTCAAGAAAATGCCTGGGCAAACAAGCCAATATGATCATATTTCAAGTCATCTGAATAAAGATACTGTCTCAGCGACACAAAACGAAAATTTATGGTTACAATTCATAGCAAGTTGGAAATAAAATAATGTTAATAGTGAAAAATATGACGTGAAGGATCAGAAAAACAACTGGTGATAGAAGATGGCAATAAAATGCGATATAAGTTGAGATGTCACTTCGAGGTGTAATAAGTCAATTCAGTCCATCACGACACAAAGTATTCAGTCCTGGCCAGAATGAAAAATAGATGAGGGTGCAGTATAATTGTGAGTATGCTGAAGAATTTGACCGCTACCGAGCTTCTAGTTTTTCAAAGTGTTTCCGGGCATTCCTTATATTCATCAACGTTGCAGCAGATGCTGAAAAATTTTAAAAATCAGAATAATTCATCCTAACTTAGCAAGATTATTAAAAAATATTCTCATATTAAACACAATTATAACTTAAATAATCAACTGTTACAAGTTTTATGCAAAAACCAGTATGCTGGTCTTATTTGTTTTAGCCATCTAGTGAATCACACAATCCTGAACTCTCGGATTCTAACCAGCTTACCAACGATGTAAAGTGCTATATCTCTCTTTCATTGTGTTTCAAGGAGGCAATGCTCCTTGTAAAGCTGAAATAATTTACTTCCATTCACCCAGAAAATTCAGTACACTTAATATAAAAGAAGTAACTTACAAACAGTTGCATCCGACAGAACTACCATGATGAATGTGTTGCAGGTAAAGCTATCAATAAATGCAGCAAATTTACTATTCCGGACACACATACATTCAAACTGAGAACCCAGCTTGCTACAACAATGAACTAATTATTCTTGAACTTCTCAAAAATCCCTCAAAATTAGATTTCTTCAAAACTGAGGGATTATGTTATACACAGCAGTCATTTTGGAACCCGACAAATTTCCGTTATATCCGAGCTTTCATTTTGGGACGAAGAGTCTACGATCATTCAGTTTCGAGTATTTCAAAGATAAAATCAATGAAGAATAAAAAAATTATAGGATAAAAGTGGAAAGAAAACTAGATTATGTCCATTAAGCTATTGATTCCTTAACACAAGTAAACTTAGAAAAGAAGAAACGATTAATAAGGTATTTCCTGCGTCAAAATAATCAACTTAGAAAATGTACCAGCTACTTTATAGTAATGTCAAGTAACGTAATCGAATGAAAATGTTGGTTGAAAGGAATAGTTAGATTTCTCTTTTATGAGTACCTCGCGACGGAAACTTTACTAAGTCCGTTTTACATAACGCTATAATCTCACATTCAACTTTTTTAGAAATAATGATGACTGAACAGAGAACCTGCATGACAGTTTGAACTGTTTGATGATGTTCGAAACTTTTTCAAAACGGTGAATATCGTCATGTTGGACGATTTGTGCCTGCGCTATCACAAGGAAAGTTGCCTTTTCGAATAATAATACCTGTCAAATGCAAAGAATACTGGCTAAAATATTTCAGAAAGTACAGAAGTTACGCCATCACCTTAAAAGGTCCTAAATTCCCAGAAGTTAAGGACATGAAAAACTGTTTAATTAAAAAGCAAACATCTAAAAAACTTATCAAGTTCATATGGCTGCTATCTTATACATATATGTTATTTTACATCGTCATACAAGAATTCTAACAATTTTCTATTCGTGAATGAAATATTGCACATGGAATGGAAATTACAGAACTAACTTCATCAGCATCCAGGATTACAGCAAACTGTTTCAGTCTGGCTTCCATTGATGCAACATTTGGTACTAAATGACAAACGATCGCCGACCAAGCCTGAATCATAAGGGCTCAATTTTGAAAATTACAGAAGTTAGATGTCGAAAAAAACTAGCATGAAAATATGCCTTGTAAAGCGTTTCATCCCAAATTGATGATCGATAACACTGCCTCACGACGTTATCATGACCAAATTTTTCAGCAGCAAGCTTCGATCTGCACATTATATCTCGCTCTTTCTCTGCAAATACCTAAAATAAATTATATAAGATAACTTATCTGTTTATGAAACAAAGGAAAAAGTCCAAGAACATTTAGAGTTCAATGATATGCTCCTGCTTAAAAAAATGTAAGCTTACATCCAACACAACGTGTCAAACTCTTTGGGCTATTTTCTCTAATTTTTACAAATGTTATTAGTATTGCGTACGTGTATCAATTCCGTGTAATAAATAAGGACAATTATCTTCTACTATAAAAGCTTTCAAAAGAGCCACAAATCTTCTGCAGCATAGTCCGAAGATTCTTCCACAAATACTTCAAAACTTGCCAAAATCAGCTGAGTTTTGAATTTGTTTTATTGATAAACAAATAGTTGCCAACCTGATCCCTGTGTTCTTCAGAAACCAAGTCCATTTTATGTATTAAGCAGAATACTTTAGCATTTGGTGAGTTTTGAATCAGTGCTTCCAGACATGACTGGTAATATCGATAATCCTTTTCCAGTTCACGACTTTCTACATCGAATACATATATCAATACCTAAATATAGAAAGAAATAAAAGATGGGAAAGACCATCTTAGCGGCAAAGAAGGTTAAGCAGAGTGGAGTATGAACAAGTTGAATACAGATGTAACAAAAGCTAAGCCTTTACCGAATATCTCACTACTTAATTTGAGTCGTCATCGCTAAAGCAATTTCATTAATTTTAAAAATTTAGATGTTGGATATGCAATAGTAAATAATAAAAAAGAGTATATGCCTGAACATTTTTGAAGATTTGGTCTTTTTGTGAAGCTAAGTAATTCTCCATAAACGCTTCTTGACCACCACAATCCCAAAGATGCAATACCAGATTACCCAGAAACCTGTAGTTCGCAACACTATGGAACACATACATTATAAGTAGAAATATATACAGATATTTAAGCTCGCTTATTCTTGAAGGCTGCAGCTACAACAAAAAACTGAAAAGCAAATGCATGTGTTGTCATTTAATCAAGTTGACAACTTTATTGATTTCAATTATGGACAACAAAACAGCTAAGCTTGGAAAATGGTTTATAGACAGAAATAAGTCATTGACAGAATGCAAAGTACACTGCTCCTGATTGCTGCAATATGTCTATAACCACAATGAAATACCAAATTTTAGATTTTCTTACAACTTCAAGGGAAGCGAAACAACTAACCGAATATGAGCATGTTCTACCTCCATCGTTGGTCCAAGACGATTCGTATCACGAGCAATATAATTGGCAAATATGATGGAACGCATTGAAGTTTTCCCAGAACCGCTTTTCCCCATCAGTAGAACTTTTCGTTTTGACATTCTCTTTACAGCCCTTTCTAAAAGCATTAAACAAAAATTAACGCCAATACATCTACAAAGAAACAATTCAGCTGAATTTCCGCTCTCCTCTCTAATATCTTATTAGTCCTACCTAGACTGTATTGTTCTGAACCTGATCCGTACTCTTCAGCTTTGCTCTTCAACAATTAGCACACACTTATTCTTCCATTTGTTTCATGATCTGTTTGCTCAAAATTTATTCTTTAGCTGATCTGCCGATGGAAATCTCGTCGTTAAGCGTCAGTGAAACCTGGAATCTTACCATCGTCCGCTATCATATCCATCTAATCTGATGAATATAATCTGAATAAACACTTCAAATCTCACAATGATGATGAAAACCGTAATCGACCTTCATGTATATTTACAGATTTAAATTTAGCACGCAAATGATGAAAAAAAAAACAGAAAACGGAAGACAACCGTCACAACCGCTAGTTCCCTCATCATATAGCAAAACATTTTTTTGACTCAACAAATGGGAGTTCAAAAAACAGAACGGGAAACTTTTAACAGTGAACTCTATGAAAAGATAAGAGATAAACGCACCACACCGTCATGACATTTCAAATTCTAGGCAAGAGGCAATCATTTATTTTTTTTCCGCTTTAAATATGGACAAGAAACGCGCAATGTGCATTTTTGCATGCGTGGTTGATTGTGTCGTGCAAATTTATTGTTCATCAACTTCAAGCTACTACTGTGAAAAATTGTTCATCATTCAGAAATGGTAAAAAACTGTCAGTTCTCATACATTATGATCAAATACAGTAACAACAAATTTCTACTTCTAAAACATTCCTAAATTTTTCACTTCCTCCTAAACTTCTCCAAATCAGCCATATCCCTGTCATGAGTAGAAAACATTAGAAAACCAAAAAGACTGAAGATACAATGGACGTGCAAATAGCTCCTAGTATTTATAAAAAAATTGTATTCAGGAATACAAAGGATTTTAACTCCAAAATTCATCTCATCGCACCGTAGTTTATTACTGATTGTAACAGAGTACACAAAAATTTTTCCAGATTTTTTTCTAGAGGCTGTAAAAATTCTGACGGTCCTATTTTTCTAAAGCCTAATCAACATAAATTAAAGTTGTTCATATTATTTGCAATTTCAAAATCCAGTACATTTAAAAGTTATGCTTGGAGAAAATTTTGTAAAGAATGGAAAGGCTATGAAATGGTTGATCCGAGTCAAACCAAAATCATAAAGAATACACTAACATAAAACACATTTTCCAAATATTCCATTATACAAGAACGTTGCGATATAATCCCAATTTAAACATTCACCAATAAGACAAAATCTATAACAGATAACTGTCCGTGATTCAAGATGAAATGATGCACTTCTTCAGCATTCTGAACTCTTAGAATCGGACTCCCTGAAAAATACTTGAATTTGCTCCCTTGAAAGAAACAACATCACAAAAAGATACATGTACAGGAACAGTCACATTTCAATGTCAATTAAAAAATGAACAATTGTAGCCGGTAGATTCAGGTTAACTTTGTAACAAAGTAGGATAGAGAAAAAATCACTTCTCCCGGATTTTGCTAAGCCTAAAACACAAGTCTTAACCAAAAAAAAAACTAGATCTTACGTATAATATAGGATTCATGAGTCCTGCACAACATTTTCAGATTATAATGAATGATGAGACTAAATAAAATTGACTTCTTACTCAATGAGAACAATCTAACCTTTTAGAGAGTACCTTTTAGGAAGTAAAACATAAAAAGTAATCAACTTACAAAGTTAATTACAAAATGCCCGAAAATTAAAGTTATCCTACTTCATGTTTCCCGCCATAATAACGGACGCGATACCACCGCTAAGTGCTGCTGCCGTAGGACTGAGAATTATGTCTTCGCCAGTCTCATTCCATGCATCATCCTCAGACTGAGACTGTGGTGGAGGCCAGTCGTCCGGCTTCATGGATGTGAAGTCGGCCCAGTTACCGGAATCCATGGAGGACATTGACGAAGCCTGCGGCCATTTATCTTCTGAAACATTACAATCACTTTTGAATGAATGAATAGTGATTATCCTTCATCAAAACTTTGCTAATATAATGCATCCTATAAGAAATTAAATTTACGTAATTCATAAAAAAAAATCACCTATGACACATTTTGATATTTTCTTTTCTTCCTTCGCTACATTTGTTTTTGCTGGATCTTTTTCACTTTCCATAGGAACATCGTTGGGACCAACTTCACTAGAATTCAGCATGGGAGCAGTGCCGTTCCAAAATACGGAAAACTTCGATCTTGAATCGTTTCCACTATCGCTAGTTGCCCTGCTATCTACTTCCTACACAAAATTAATTACTAAATAGGCAAGATTACTGACTTTTTGTCTTGGAAAATCTATTTCGTTTTCTCTTCTCTTGACTTGGAATTTCAGTGAATCGTTAAGATACCTTGGGCTTCCTTGAACTTGGCCATCCATCACCTGAATCCTTACTTGTAATACTTGTATCGATTCTCAATGCACACATTGCATCAAACATATCTTCACCTCCCTAAACAACATTTATTATTATAAACATTCACATCAGAAAGATACATAAATTGAACATAAAAGGAACTCACAATGTTAGCAAAATCTTTTGCAATACCGCAATCCGACGTGATGTCAGTAATCTCGTAACTAAAATTAATGTAAATTTATTTATTTCTTCCCAAACAAATAAAATATTTAAGGAATGAAGCTTTTTGCTCAAAAATTTCTTTCCATGAAAAACAGCCACACCACAATCACTGGTCAAATTGACGCAAGAGCCTTATAGGATTGTAAAAAAATTTATACACTGGATTTATGATATTGCTTGCAAATTTACAGCACTTATTCAACTACAGTGTTTGATGACATTATGGTATCAGCAAGATTATTACCTCAATTAAGTGGTACGACAAAACTTTATAACTCCAATACTCTGTGCTAAAATATTTGTTATTGATATAAAAATAAATTTGCATACTCATTGTTATGAGAAGAGCATGGGAATGATATTGTCACATCCTCTGCCAGAGACCGGGGTATTAAATAACGTTCATACTCATCCATTAACTGTAATATGGAAATCAGTTTAAACAAAATTTTCGTAAGCCTTTTCCCTAATTTCGAAGTAATTTTAAAGTATTCAGAGCCATTTTACAACTAGCCAAAAATCTTAAAGGATGATTGAGAAAATGTTGTATTCGAAAGAAACTTTTATTATCCAGGAACAAAGAATTTTCAAATTTGGTAGAATAAGCAAGAAAAATACGTAGGACCAAATGATAATACCTCTGCAGCACTACTGACCATAGGTTCGGGAACATCACACGCATCAATCTTCGCCGTATCAACAACATTACTAGCCGGTGGGAGAGTGATGCCTGTGTCATCACCACGATTTTTCTCCTCGTATTCTTTTATTTCCTTTGAGAAAGCTTCCCAACAGGCAGCTTGGTCAGATGCTAGAAACGTAGCAGCATACGCGATGTTTATCATCAGCTTTGTATCTATGCTCATTAGTAGTATATTCCGTTTTCTTATGGAGCAAAACAAGAAAACAAATACTATCAGAATATGTACATGCATTCAAGAAATTGTGTCTGACCTTGAATGAACTGAGTGATGCATTCAGCATTGCATGAGGATTCGGAAGCACATTTAATTAGTAATGCGAGATTCATATAAAAACCATGCAACATTCTTTTTGAAGATCCGTGAAGAAAGTCAGTTTGTGATGTTTCACAACCTGCCAATATGTGCCCCAATATATCCACATCCTAAAAAAATTAGTTTGTTTTTCTTTTAAAGAGGATTTTAAAAAAACTTACAAAATAGTGGAGCTATTTCACAGTGGTCCAATCAATTTGCATCCATTTTTCTTTTCAAATTTAATTACAAAGTCCATATCACCATCGCAATTAATCTTCATTATAAATAAAAAACATCGACTTTCACTATTCTCTAGTGCATACTAGAGTTCAACTACTAGGTCTCATTTTCTATTTTACTATTCCGTAGTGAACAATAGAGAATAGTGAAATAGAAAACAAGAGTGGTTGAACTGATTATTTTTCCGAAAGATCAAATATTTAATATAATTCACCTAATTAGAAGCCATAACTATACGATGTACAACGTGTCTATAATGTACACAAAGAATAAAAGTCCTTAAGGATTTACCTTGAATAAATACTGTATAAGCGGCGAGGGAGAAGGAGAAAGTGTATAAAGAATATAAGCAATGGCTCGATGTAAAAGATTTTGAAAGAGTATAAGTTGAGGACGAGTGTTGATATAAGTGAGGAAAAGTTTGAATGGGCTCATTGAGAGAGATGAAAATGATGCCAAAACAGCCTGATGTGTTGCCATATGATTTGTATCCAGTACTAGCACTAACAACCGCATCAATGGACACCACGCATCGCTGCACACCTCTATATCACCATCTCCTATCTGTGAGCAAATATCCTTGTCAATAAGTTTAATAAAGGGAATTAATTTCTCAAAGCAGTAAAAAAATAGTTTTATTCAATTAGAATTTAGAATGCATATAAACCATAAGGTCAATGTAAAGTCAACAGAAGATATCCAGCACGCAAAGCTTTCCCCGCGTTTCAAAGTACGCAACTATTTTTAAGGCCAAAAAAAATTTTTCTTTTATTGAACTACAAGAGAAATAGGAATGGATAAGAATAGTAATACAAAAATAATAGAAAAATCTCTTTGAAGTAAGCACTTATGAAAAAATCCAAAGAAAAAAAAACTTTCTCATTGATTGTCTACATGTTAATGTTTATCTGTGCAATACCTTGAGAGAATCAATTACTGCATTGACAATCCGATCAGCTGAAGCGGCAACGATTGTCTCTACTACATGACCTGCATCAGGCTGCCACACAGTTGTACCGTTTAATTCATTTTCCGCGACTGGCACACCACCGTACCATTGCGTCTGAATACCACGATCCTCCATTCCCAATTGATGACTGGGACTGAAAATTACCAGCTGGAATATAAGTTATTATGCTGACCGACATAGAATATAATGACCTTCTGGAAAAGCATGCTATACAGCTTTTAAATGGCAATATTAAACTGCAAATCCCTCTGTTTTATTACGGTAAAGTTCTTGTCCCTTTGTAAAAGTCTTCTGCATGTCCTAAAAATTCAACAGAAACAAAGCACCGTAGTGTGTTGGATGCTCTTAGCAACTGAACTTAGAAAGAACATTTTCTGTTTCAACATCTCGCTGGCCCAAAGAAAAAATGCAAACCAGTTAGGGATAAAATTAGTTTCCAAAAGAGTAATCAAAATAGCGGCAGCATTGACAATAACAGAATCGCGACGCTGCTCCAAATTGTCAGGTAACATACGACTCATTAAATGTCGCACATTCCGTTCCGACTGTAAACTCTCCAGTAAAGAATCATTCCGCTTGCATTCTGCGGTGTACTGTATATCACGTAACATACGTACCAATTCGCTCCATAAATGACCAATGTTGTCATGAACCTAAAATGATAACCAAACATGGAAGCCTTTTAAGTACATTATAGAGTTTAATAATTTCTTACGGCTAGCTACAACATTAATTCGAGAAATGACAACCGATTAACGAACACCGTACACCGCAGTTATAGCTATTATCAGGCTCGAATATACTTTTTTTCATGTGATCATCATTAAAGTTTGCTTCCAGCACTGATAGTTTGAAAAATTTTACATAATTCTAACTCAGATACAATAATAAAACATACAACAGGTGGTTGTTCTGGAACAAGAAGATCACAAAGACTTTCTACCAATCGACTTTCCGCACACCACTGAAATATAACAGTTTTATCTCACGTTCAAGAAGAAATATGCATTGTTGATGTCGGCTTGATTCTACGAAAACACTAACTCATTAAAATAAAGGTCATGATCAAAAAATGATCAATTCACCGAGACCTGTTTGATATGATCGTGCTGTTCAATATTTGATAGGCCACTAACAATGCGGTATAACAGTTCCATTACAGCCGAATGTTTCATGTTCTTCATACAATGAATCAAAAACTGACTTTCTTTCATGCGAGGAAATACCTAAAATTCATTTACGAACCTTTATCTAGCACCGTTTTTCCGCTAAAATACATAGATAAAATAAACGCAATAAATAAAAAAACAAGTTCTACTTATTAATTAAAACGCATAAGTCACTAATCACCAAAGCGTTCTTTAAATCTCGAAAAATAGAAAATCATATATTAATAATTAATAAAATCCGTTCTCAAATAAAGATGTAAATGAATTTCCTAGATCTTTTCAAAAATCGACTCACAGTACTGCCACCTAATCCACCCGTTAGCTAAGTTGTCCATGCTTTCCAATGTCTAATTCCTATTATAAAAATACAAAAAAACATCTTAAAGGATTCTTAAAACCTAATCAACGCGAAAGACTTTCGATTATCGTCGCCTCCCGAAAGATAGTTTGCCGTACATAGAACTAATCTTTACTATAGTAAAATGATATTTGGAAGATGGGAACAAAAAAAAGAAGCAAATAAATACCTGATCAGGGAATCTACCAATAATTTGTGAGAATATTTTCATATAAAAATTGACGATAACATGGTTCAACTTCCTGCTGTCCAGGAAATCAAAAAGTAAACTGCATGCCTCTTCATTATTTATAACTGCCCTACTAAGCTCTTCATTATTTATCGATAAGATCTCAGCGCATAGGTGGGCTTTTCTGTAAGTAGAAATTACAAGCTTCAGATATGAGAGTCCTTCCAAAATGCAGCTATTATCAAATCGCTAAATGATCGATTAACTCATTCTCTCCCTTTCCTTTAACTCTTTAATAACGTATCTTTTATGTAAGCCTTTAGAAGTTTAGCGACGTGAGGGAAAATAAGGACAAAAAAAAAGAAAAAAAGAAAAAAAAATACTTGTACTGTTCTTTCAGTGGTAATGTTTCATCGATTTCTGGCTCTAATGCACCTTTGATCATTTGAGCCACTACTTCTTGTCTCGTTAAACTGCAAGTAAAGGGCCTGTACCGCAAAGTCCATAAAAATGGAAGGCTTTTCTTAGGATTCGTTTTGGATAGTGCCAACAATAACAAAGAGATGTAACAGAACAGATGATACCTAAACCTAGAAATCATCTAAAAGACGAATATTGTTTGTACTACTGTCATCAAGCCATTATACGATTATGAATATGAAAGACTCCGTAGAGGGCCTTAAAGTTCGTGCTTTTAAATATTCCTGGTATCTGAAAATATCGAATCACAACAGCTTATGCCATAAATATATTAAACTGTTCAATTTGATGAATAAAATCATGCATTCATCCACCAAGTTATCAGCACAAAACAAGCGATGTCGAATGGCCAGGAATTCCATTATTGGAAAATAAGTAGTGTTGGAGATCCCCAAGTAATAGCAACCAAATAATGCAGATGATCCTAAAAGTGTGCATACAAACGTACAACTTGATGAGTTGAAGATTGCCATTGCGAATTTCCTGTATCGTATAATCATCTTCCAACACATCTGCTAATGTTGCAGTATCATTCTTCAATAATTCATCTAGTTTGCTCCCAGAAGCTGCTAGATCGCTTGACCAGAACATATCCTGAAACATTGTTTGGCACTCCCTAATCTGGAATGCACCAATTAACTACACTCCCAATAATGTACCACTACTAAAATGATGAGCATAACTCTGACATTTGTGGTTCTTTTAATCTTCACAATGGCAAGTAATTCATCTAGTTTATTAACAGAAAGTGACAGATCGCTCGATCACAACAGAGGTCAACTTAGTTATCAAGTTTATTCAGGTGTTGACCGATGCTTAAACTCAATTAATAGAGTTATTCAAGTTTTTACAACTTTACCAGCTTGATCTGTTTGCAAATGAATCTAAGCCTTATTTTTTTGCCTAGGTGGCCTACTTATACCATTTACATAGAATGCCAACCTCAAATCTTTTTTTTGTTAGGTGGTTTGGTACATTCTAAGGAAAGTGTAGCTAGAGCGTGCCACATGGTTACGCTCTTTTCAGCATTTGTAGCATTATATCCTCAAATGAATCTCGTACATCTTTTCCACATAAATGCTGTCTACTTTATCCCTTTCACGGATTAAACTACTATGTCTCTGGACTCCCAATCACAAATTGAAAGATTATGAAGGAAAACTCTTGTTTCTACCAACTTCCTTTACTCTTGAACACAGCGCTATTTCGCTCATTATATTTTTTTCAGTTTCTTCCATCTTCACTGCCTTAATTCGTAACACTTCAATAAACTTATTTCTAAAATTAATTCCTTGACCTCCTTCGAAAACTTTATGTTCCCCAAAAAAAACCAATTAAAATTCGAGTCACTCCTTCTGATACCAATAATTCAATTCATTCGAGATCAACGATTCTTCGTTAACGTAACTAGCCTTTCGTATGCTAATGTCACTAATAACTAAACGACTTCGGAGTCCAACGAGTTTTACTGATTCACATAAAGGAAGCTGACCGCCTCCCACAACAACTGAAAAAAGCAGTTTTTGAAAATGGTTTTATTCTATTGCAAAAATAGCAAAGGAACAGTTATAGGATTACGGAGGGATGAAGAGGACGAAGGCATAGGCAGGAATGGATGGGATAAATTGAAATCTCACGAATGATTCCAGAATTGATAACAGTGCAGATCTTACTTCTAAAAAAGTATCCGGGGATTTCTTATTCTTAATGGATTAACTTAGCAATGCAGAACACCCCAACCGCCTCGAATTCAAACTACCCCGCCGTAAAAACAATCCTGCTCATGATTGGTAGCATGCAACGGACATGCAACAGTTTGGTTCAATGGTGAATTATGGACGGATTCGGCCAGATTGGACTAGTGGAACCTCTTGTCTTTCATTTCCCATTAAAAGTTTAGACTAGGATTTTCAAGAGTGTCTTCAGTTTATACGGAGAGTCGCTACAGTTTTCGTTACTTATCTTTCAACTTGCGAGAAATTTCAAATTACATCGATTTTCAGTTGTAAATTTTAATTTTATTCCGGCTAAAAAAGCGTTAACTTTAATTTTGTGATGAGAATAGAACATTTAATTATTTTTCCAAGTTTTTCCAAATTTTGTCATAGGAGTATTTGGACAGTACAAACTTATTTTCGATGTACAAGCATATTATGTGGTTTAAGTTTATTAATCCATGAAGTTTAACTTATTCAGTGGTGGATATCTTTGTTTGCGGTAGTATTCCTTTAAAAGCAAGGAAGTAATCTGTTGTATTAAATTCAGTCGAATTGTTACTCTCTTACTTTGAGGACAAAATGAATTCGGAAGAAGATAGTGACGAGATTTACGATGAAATTGATCGTCATCATATGTCACTGAATACACTTGATAATGATAAGGAAGATGCTGTGATTCGCAGGGAGGTGGAGGTCTTGAACGTCGAAGGCGATTCGTCTAGCCATGATGGTGATTATGACAATGAAGAGGACCGAAATTCTTTTTCAGACTCTGATGAAGATGGTTTAAGTAATGTCGAGAAGTGTAAGTCCCCACCTTTGATGTAGTTAGCAAGGTCTTTTTTTTGCATCTCTTCTTACATTAACAGTTTAGATATTAAAGAGTGTTGGCAGTTTTATGTGGACGGACTTCCTCAAAAGAGATTTGTCTTTATTATCTCTAAATGATATGGCAAACTGAGTTTGTATGGGAAAATGGTCTGACATCTTAAATGAAAAAGGAATTAAAAAAATTTCAGAAGCTCTTTTTGCAAATATAGGCAATAGTCATATGTGGCATTGACTGGTGAAATAGTTCGTTAACTAATTTAATAAAATGCGCGATTCACTTATTACTGTTCGAAACAATTATAATATACAAAACAAAAGGATTTATGATTTCAGTCTTACCTTCGGCAGATAAATGGGGTAGTGGTCGGAGAAGTTTCTACAACACTTCGTATGTCGACGAGGATTGGGGTGGTATGAATGAAACGGAAGCAGAATTAGCCGAATTGGAGGAAGAAGATGCCATTGCAAGGCAGAAGAAACTAGACGCTACTCTCGGTCTTCTACCCATGCAGTTCCAGGTTTATACCAGATAGCAGAATCAAAAATTCAGATTAGGTTAACTTGAATACATCACTGTCTATATTTTCAGGATGAAATCCAGGAAGAGAAGACCGATCATTATTTGAACGAACCTCCAGATATCGAGAGCATGACTGCAGAACAACGATACGAATATTTTTTAAAAGTTAACCCTGACTTGAAGCAGATGTTTAATGAGTACCAATCAAAGGTAAGATTTTGTCGACAAATGTAGATATAGCGATTTAGAAGATAAAAAATCAGTTTAATAAATCGTACAGATCTGCATATTGGCTTTCTTTATTTGAATGAGTTATGAAGATTCGCTCATATTATTAAATGCATTTCCCAGAAAAAAATAGCATTTGTAAAGGCATGCTGAGATATTGCAAAAGAATCAGTTCCAAGAACCTTTTTTTTATTTTGTAATTTAACTTGATTGTGGCACGAAATAATCATTTTAGAAATTCGAAACTTATTTCTTATTCATCGAATTTAATTATGTGATTTTCAGAGAACATATTTCTTAACCAATGTGCTTCCTCTCTTAAATTTAGCCCATTCATTGAAAAATATTCGACCAGACTTAGTGTTGGAAAAGCAACTACTTCTTGTGGTTAACGTTTTTTCAAGGTAACATGATACTTTTTTTAAGAAGGAACATCAACTTCATTTCTTCTCTACCATTTCATATTCTTGCTAATTTAGTTTCTTGCTGTTACTGTTGCTTTCACAAGGGTCCAAAAAGTTGAAGAGAAGTTCATAAAGTTAGGAATACTGGTTTCTTCGTCGATTCTGTCGATAACTTGTATCATATGAGTTGCTTTTTATACTTCACATTTTAATCAGCTAGGTTAAGAAAAATAAGGAAAAACTTTTTGGAACGCTGAAATTCTCCATTTATTTATTTTTGATTCCCACAAGAATGAGGAGAGCACTTCTAAAAATGTAAAACATTCATTGCCAAAAGAAATTATGCACATTCAAATTTTTGGTCAATTTTATGAAAAAAAAACAAAAACAAACCTAAAACTATTCTTCATGTTTTCATAAAAGTGAAAAGAGAGGAAATTTTAGATGTTAGGAAAGTTTAAAGCTTGCTGTCATCAGCCATTTACATGAGTGATCAATAATAATATAGAGACATATGAATTTTCCTGCAAATGAAATGATGGGTTTTTATCAACAGCTGAGATTAACAGAGGGACAAATCAAGCCATGTTCTTCAGATATTTGACCAATTTGTTGTTTGCATTTCACATAAAAATTGCCAGCAATTCATGTCAGGAAGCTCCTCACTTTATTGATCATCCTGTTCTACGGACTCTTTCAATTCTTCAGAAAGTAAGTTTTTTTTATGCTGCATTTGTTTAAACGCTGTCAGTAATAAAAATAATATTGGGTAATAGCTGTTGGGTTTTGGTTTGAGTATTTGAAACATGTACTGAAGGGCAACATATATGTTATGTTCTCGAGCAATATCTTCCTGGTATTATGTTTACTAGTTTTATTCTTCGACTTTATGAGTTTCTTAAACTACTATATTTTAATGATTGTTTCAAGCTCTATAATACGTCATAGGAAATGTTCGTTGTTGCGCACTTCCTTGAAAAACACAGTGCTATTCTGGGAAAGATAAGCAATAACCTTAAATCGAGAGATTTCACGAATATGTTGGATACATTCCCAACAATAGAGTTTGCATGGAAATCGAGAATTCCTAAGAGAAGCGAGGAAAATAAACAACTACTAATCGAAGAAGATGGAATAGAAGTTCAGATTGTGCATGACAAAATGGAGAAAGAGATTATAAAACGTTCAATAACCAACCAAGTTAGTTCTTTGATGCATATGCCAGAATTTCGAAAGCATTTTTGATAGCAATATCTGTCAAGATATTTTTAGGGTGTAGTTTCATGATACATTGAGAAAAGTGACGTAATAGTTCTGTTTGTTCTGAAAAATCTAAAAAAAATGATGCTTCCTTTCTAAATTTCAAAAATTTGCTATATTTACTTTAGCAATCACAAAATTTAATAGTTACTGAAAAATACTGGGTGTTGTGGCCTATTTCATATTTATTTATTCTGCTTGCATTTAGATTGAGAAGAATAAAGGTTTGCAAAATAAGCGGAAGAAAGGGACACAACATTCACGGGTCAAGAAGAGGAAGCAGTTCAAGAAAGCGTTAATCAAAAAACACTCGCAAAAGGCTGACGCAAGAAAAGAATTAACTCCATACGGAGGGGAAACTCGAGGAATCAGAGCATCGACCGTGAGAAGCGTTAAACTGAAAGCTTAGAGAAATGAGTGTACTGTTGTTATCTCAATATTAAATAGTTCTCCTTATTCTGAAATCACATATTTTTTTCATATTGCAATGGCAGAACTGGCTATAGTTGCCTCCAGAAACAACCTTACTTAAGCATATAAAAAATGAAACATTGCTAGAGCATAAAAATCAGCAAGCCATCTTTTTTTCTCGTTATGAGTTAAAGCTATCATCTGTTTATGTAATCTCCATTCGTCTAAAGTAAAAAAAGATCGATATTTTACAGATGTATTTCCTTCTGTTATAAATTGAAAAATCGCGAAGACGTAATCAGAAACATTTCATATTCGATACCTATTTCAAAAGGATAAAAAATTAAAATGCATGGATAGACCAGACTAATCAATAATAACGAGCTGGAACGGATTAGCAGAAAAAAAACCGATCTGGGCTCCATTTTTTTTTCAAAATGCTTTTAAATCACTATTTTCTAAAAAAAAAAAAATGAATGCTAAGGAACTAAAAAAAAAAAATAGAATGCTAAGGAACTTTAAGAAGTTGACTGCAAGTCATTAAGATTATTTACGGCTATCCTTAGCATATAGTGCAATAAATTCCAAGTAAAAATCTGCCTTAGCATAACCAGTGAAATCTATTAAGAAAAAATTTCGGATTAAACCTATAATTTTTATCATTTCATTTGAATCATTATTCTGGTGGAATCCACACAGTGAGGCTACTGCATATGTAAGTGAATGATATACTTAGGCTAAGATAACTCAAAAACAAGTAAGGCATCACGATAATATTACTTGAGCAAATAAAGTCGTACTACTTTCCAAGACATTAGTAAAGTACAAAGATGCAATAAATGTGCCAGGCTGTCTTTTGTTGGAAGTACCATAGAAACCTTCTGCAGTATATTATTAAATGACCAAAGATCTCTGGGAAACAATAAAAATAACTTTAAACATCAATTTCTCGAGAGGTGCCACGAAGTTTGCGCGCTGGCAGTCGCTCAACAAAAAAAAGGAGAACAAACAAGCTGGAAAAACAAACAAACAAACAAACAAACTGCACTTTGGTATAAATAAATACGATATAAAAAATGCAATCAAGCGATTGTCGAAGCAGTGAAAGGGATAACAAATAATAACATTGCCATAGAAATCGGAATATCGTTTATCACAACAGTATACTGCATTGCACAGTGTTTCACAGGATGAACATGACTATAAGACAAACTATAACAACCGGTAAGTAGGATAGTTTTTTTGAACTAATAACAGTTAAGCTACATTCTCATCCTTTGTAAACCTTTCTCATCCTTTGCAAAATATTTTATATCCAGATAAAGCAACTGTCCCACTTCACATGCAAATATACGGGCAGTATAGACCACACGGCTAAACAAGTACATTTTCGAAGCAAATCATTTCTCTTAGTTTTCATGAAGCTACTCATAACTGTAAAATAAGCAGGACGTCCAAGCCAGTATGTGGTGATATAGGTGGCACTACACTATTAGTCAATCAGTTCCGTTCTTAAAACATTGCTCACTCTATCCTTAGTTCATGCAGTATTTCCGGAAATTTTCAATAAATTCCAAAAATAAACTGTTCCATAGGAGAATGATGATAGAAAGAAACGCGAAAAACACCGAATTGAATCATTCATTTCGAGAGCTTTGATATTACGCGTATTAGTGCTCCATTCTCTTCCTTTAATTTTTGGTTGTCCGTGCGTAGGTGTTCCAACTGCTGCAAGTCGCATATTTAATAAATCCTTCTGGGGAAATTTCTTTGTTAAGTCGTTAAAACTTTGAGTTGTTGGAACTCAAAAGGAGTGAAATGATTACTTCAGTTCTTTTGAAACATCTTTGATCAAACTAAATTACTGGAAAAATGAACTTTGAAAAATGAAGCTATGGCACATCAACTATTATATCTTTATTTTAAGCATATTTTGCAGTTACATTAATAATTGAGCACTAAGACAAATTCTGTTGAGCATAAAATGCTCCTTACATAGCATGAGTCTACGAAAACTCTATGCCTGACTTCTTCAGGGCACCAGCTAGCCATTGCAAAAAAAAAAAAAAAAATGAGTGCCCGCCTTTCATCCTACCTCCGGATATTCAAACTCAGGAGAGTTAAAGTACCTCAAATTATTACAGTGACTAACTATAAGGATTCAACGAATAAATATACCGAGGAGTAGGAAGAAGCTGGGCTTTACAAGATATCATTAATACTTGATTATTATTACCTACTTAAAATAATGCAATTAGATATACTGCAAGCCAGAACGTAGGCAAAAGTAATAAGTAAAATGTTGCATTAGGATAACACCACCTAATCCAGAAGTTCTTCAGAATAATATCGATTATGACAATGTTTCATCAAACGTTGTAGGGGATATTTTTTTAAACAAAGTGAATATCCTAAACCAGTCGAGAAAAGCCATTCTTCATTAGAGTATTTAACACAGCTGTCAATAATCCCAACGTATGATGGTCATATTCCTCACCCTTAAAGTACTTAGCGCCACTTTTGAACTAGCTCACAGTTCCAAATTTCGTGAATAATTTGACACCGGCATTGTTCGTCTCGAAGTTCTACGATTTACGACATGCTTTTTACTATTGTGGTAATAGATTCACGAATAAGTAAAATAACTAGGGTTATAAAAAGCAAGAAGGTAGCATTAACAGAAACAACAACATGTTAGCCAAGTGCAACCCAAGCTAACACTACCGAGGCCAAGTTGGTGTACTCTGCTGACGGCTCATTTTAGATAACACACGAATCAGTGCTTCGTTTTCCATTCGTAGCGAATCATTGCTTTTCTCCAGCTTTTTCAATTCCTAAGTTAACATGAACTTGCTTTTAATATGTTAGCAGTGAAAAAAGATTTTTGAAAAACGTCGAAGAAAGTTTAACATCCAGTCCTTCCAGAAATTTAAGGGAGGTTCAAGATTTAATTCTTCATGGACCGTTCGACCTATTCTATACTGGACTTTTTTTTCATTATATTTTTTTCAGTTGCTACACTCCTGATAAGTGTCAAAGTTGAAGAAAATTAAACATCCAATCCTATCATCAACATAAAAGAAATTCTTCGAACTAAAAATGCACATCATAACACACCGTGAAATGAGGCTCAGTACTTTAAGTTCATTACCAAGCTTGTAACTTTAACTTTTTTTTATCGAAATTATATGACAAGATTCGTACAAGAGAAGTGGGCAAGTGGAAGGACGATAGTATCTCACAAGATAAATATGTATACTTTCCAATCTTATAGTAGGAATTCTCAAGTCTTTTCATGGATAAAATGAATTATAATTACAAAAAAAGATTTCAAAACGACCTCAATTTCATATTGCATTTCGGCAATTTGTTGTTCATAATTATGTCGTTCACGATCGTTCATTGGTGTTGATGATAAAGACTTATTAAGCGATGGTAGTGGTTTAAGCCGTCCTCCAACATTACATTTCAATAATGAAATGTTGTTTGCTGAATTCGATTTCTAAACATACGATTTCTAAATTTTAGTAAAATATAGCAGTTAATGAAGATACTATTACCTCAAACTAATACATTCAAACGAAATGGTCAAGAAAAAATATAACTGGAAGACAACATGGAAGTAGAGAATTTCAAAATAAATATAAAAGGATACATGCTACAAATAACTTCATCAATTTAATTAAACGACAAGATATATACCATACACTGTCACCTGACATAAATAGTTTGAAAAATGAAACTTAGTATAGGATATAATCAATTCCAAACTAAGCGTTCCAAGTAATAAAAAGATGACTTCTCTATCCATTTGAACCACTCTCACATACTAGTTTTTTTTATACCACTTATAAATAGAATAACCTCTAATGATAGCTCTTCAATTCGGCGCCGTAATCTTTCTGTTTCCTGTTTTTCCTTTTCATACAATGTTTTGTAATCCAAAACTGTCTCCTGACATTTCGATTTGCTATTGAGCATTTGAAATGAAGCTGTGGTAGCTGTACTTCCACCGATATGTATAGAATTAGTCTATAACGAGTTGGAAACAAAACTGGAAGAAATAAATAGAAGTGAAGGTTAATTAATAAAATGAAAAGGTTTCTCATTTCGTAAGTTGCAGTTAATTAACAACTTGAGTAATGATGGGTAGACTACCATCATACTGCGATCTTATTATTGCTTGACAAATGATATATATCTTTCTGAGAATGCGAAGTATGCTCTATCCAAAATTTCAATGGGTTAAACTCTATTCTTTTTTGCAACTGTGGCGACGAACAGGGAATGGAACCAGTAAGATGTAAATTGGACCCAACAGAAACGAGCACAAAGAACTTTGCAAGCGCGTAGAACCGTAATCATTGAAAGTATGCCAAAGTGAATGGTCGCACAATTAATATTCTGTTATTTTGAGAAAATGGAATCCAAAAATTTTGTAGGACATCGGCGTTTTAAATCTATTTAAACAATAAATATATGCAAACTACAACATACTTGGGTGGTCCTTACTTTACTGGTAAGAGCAGCCTGAGTATAAGCAATAGCTGTAAGAGCATTGTCTCTAAAACTGTAAGAAGTAGTAGCAGTGGCAGGAATTGAGCGATCGACACTGGAAGAGGATGATGTGACTGTGTTGGTTGAAGACGAGTCACCACCACTTTTCTGGACTGAATCATCCGATGTCTCTTCGCTCTGAAGATCGTCAATTCGGACTGGACCTGTTACGCGCCGTGTAGTCCTTGGAGCCTATGAAGAAACAATGTATTTCAAATTAAAGTTCAAATGCTTTTACAAATATATTAATAAGTCAATTTTTGAAATCGATTAAGCAATGTAATATATAAATCAAGTTGAGCCGTCCAAAATAAAACCTCTACTTACTTGCGACCGACGACGAACAGCAGAAAGCGATTGAGCGTACGTTTTTGCATCAAAGTCCTTCCTTTCTTCCCCAGTTCTTTTTTCGATTTCATGCAGTGAAGTGGAATCCTAAAAACAACGCTTTCTTAAAGGTATGACAAATTTCTAAACTATGCACCATCAGCAAACCCCAGCTTAAAATTTTTGCAAAAGTCAACTAACACATTATTTCAAAAATAAAATAAACAAAAAGGAAAGTAATTCTACTACAGTACAGATGATATATGAAATAAAGGCTAATACTTCAAGCTAAGCAGATCTATAATACAGTTTTTTTTTTTTTTTTTTTTTTTAATACAACCTATATCATATTTCATCAGTACAATTGATGGAAAGACGTTTTCAGTATTAGGGAAGTATGGCAATACATGCCTCTTGAAATCTTACTAAGCAAGATTGTTCAAGATGCTTTTTGCACAACCTATCAACATTAAACTTATTAACAAGGTAAATAACTAATCATACCAACGAAGGAGAAGAAAAATTTTTCCCATCCCTCTGCATTTCATTCTCCCGCTCTCTCTCCTTGTCATCATGTCGAACAGTTAGAGCTGTGGCAACGCGCAACTGTTCTCGAGTTACTCCTTGCGTCGATCTAATATATACATAGCATATTTATCAACTTTAGCTTCGGCAATCACGACCGACATATTATTGTATTGTTCGCCATGTAATAAATAAGTACGTCAAATGTAGTTATTGTATTCCCCCTCCCTTTTTGCTCCTGGTTCTATCCTTTCACTCAAATTCTGCCAAACTCACCAAATAATTTAGCAATTAGATTAGTTAATGAACCTGCGAGAGTCTCTTTGTCGTTTTGCTCTACTTCGTCGTTCAGCTTCACTTTCATTTGGCATATTTGGTTCCATTGGTGGTGTTGCAAGCAATCCCCTTAAATATAAGTATTAAATATAATACTGACAATTCATAACTGATTCATTTAAGACATAATAATTTTTGATTCCAGAAAGTCATCTAGAATTCTAATAGTGCATTGGCTCCAAGTCACCAAACCCCAAGGCTTATCTCAAAACAAGTGTACGGGTTAACGATGAATACAAAATGCAACACAGTCCAGAATGAGAAAGGCACTCCATATATCGTGATCAATATGGACTGAATCTAATCAAGTGGATTCAATTTAATTAATCTATTACTGAAGTACTGTCATTAGAAAAATGTGTACAACAAATAAAAATAAGATGCTCTCATGCAGCAGTTAAATTCTGAACCAAAGCAAATGGAAAGTACACAGGTACGTTAGACTACGGAATCAAAGACTCGATAGAATATAGTACACCGGTTGTATTAATTCCTTTCTTAAAATATTACTTGTCTCGAGTATATTTGGATCACTCAGTATCAAGTTAATTTCAATCTGAAATCGCAAATGCTAACATTTACAATGGTATTTAGCTTTTCCCCGGTCAAATACTTCGTCAAATAGAAAAATGTAGCGTTATGCAAAGTCAGGACATAGCTGAATAAATACTTCAAAGCTTCAAGCTATAAAGGTAAAGACAACGCCAAATATTCATCATCTAAGATTAAGCCAATTCGAGACAATAACAACTCAAAACAGGCATCGGAAATAAATGATTCATTTAATTATTTAAAGCAGATGCATGATTCGGTCTTTTTCACCGGCCATTTAGTTGAATACTATAGAACCAGGAAAAGATGACAAAAATTTACCTTCCACAAAAGCTTTCAAAGGGTTAGCTTGAGAAAAGAAAATGCAATTACAGAAATACTGAGCATTAAAGCATTATAATTTTAATTCAAAAATAATATACGACAAAGAAAACGAAAAAAATATGAAGCACCTTGACAAAGATGGTTGGCCAGTCTGCAATGAACAAGCGTTCGTTACTGGCTGAATTCTATTCATAGTGCTGATAGCAGCCTGTCGTACAGCAGCTTGGAAATGCGCAAAAGCCGGATGTAGTGGACCTTTGATTGCCGAACTACGATATAGAGGCATCCATGGAACTGGTGCTGATGTTGATCGTTGTAGGTTGACACTAAATTCGTCCTTTTTTCTTTTGAAATGAAGAATCAAGACTACATCTGAGAAATAATTTATTAGTGTCATAGCAGCAAGAAAAAAAAAAAAAAGAAGATACCCTGTGTTATGCGGCAAAATAAGCATGCAAAGCGATGAATATTAATTAGCAAAAAAGATTAGCAATTTACAATATTTCGCGTCTTTATCACAGTCTCTTCTTAAAAGAACGAGAATTGCCTATCTTATTAAAGAAGAATGATAAAGTTACGTGAGATACCTCGAGAACGAACAAAAATGGATCTTTCTCGTAATTCTTGGCAGAATAAACACAATGCTAATCGTAAGACTGAATTTCTCACTTGAACGATCTAATTTTGCATATTTAACCATGATTATCTATGTGTGTGTGCAACAGAGAGGCTCGAAGGACAATTGAAAAAATATGTTATGGTTGCGACAAGACCCAAAAATATAAAGGAATGATAAAAATATAATCCAAGTTTCAGCAAGGTCATAGATCCAGCAAATGTAAAGGAAATTGCTCACATTGCAAAACAGCTAACCTTAAAAATTATTATCAAAGATTGATATTTAAACTCTTTAGCCTTAAGAGTCAAAGATGAGAAGTTAGAAAGACTTCTGGCAGTTGAGAACTTTTAGCAAGTAACACATGCAAGGATAATTTTTAAGGATCCCCGTCCAAAACAAAAAGGATAATTCAGAAAAAATTAATCTTTGACAATAAAGTACGACAAAGAATGGAGGTTTTCGAAAGCACAAGCAACAAAAGCACGAAGAGCAGCTGTATGAACTATCTTTGATAACAAGTAAGCTTTAGCCCGCTATAACACGAAGTTAGTTTTTGGCATCATGAAGGAATCCAAGAAAATCAAAATCAATAAGTAATAAACTGCTTACGATTTACTGAAACGAGCTGATGGCTCTAAGGAAGCTGTTGTCGTTGTAAATTCTTTTTCTACAGAGTGAGCTTTGAGTGAAGGCTGATTCTCCGACAATACAATCGACAAATTAGAATCGTTAATCGCAGATCGTAAAGACGGACTGCTCTGAAAATATACCTTCTGGTTTGTCAAAGCTAAGAAATATAATAGCACACTGCAGTTTACCAGCTGCAAAAACAATATGTAGAGACAAACTGCCAATTCATAAAATTTATATCCATTTATATCCAATTTATACCCAATATATCTGTGAATTCATACCAATCGTCCATTCATTTATTGATCTTCGATGGATTCATGATGCACCATCTTTTTTCACGTGCCCGCAAGAAAATGACGTTGTAACAACAGGAAATGAATAAGAGAGTATTATAAAGTAGGTGGGTAGATATGAACTGTATATTTTGCGGATGAGTTATTTTATGGTCACATAGCATCAATGACGATAGCGCTTACCAAACAAGTGACTTTATGAAGAAGCTTAACGTTTACAGGATCATCAGAACTATTCGGTCACTAGGTGTAATGTATTTCTCAGTAGTAACGTCAGCACGACTTCTAACCACTAGTCAGTTTTATTTAATTAATTCAGTAATTTACTATATAAATCCGGATTTGATTTTTTCAAACCGAATTAAAGTTTGGGGAAAAAAGTAGCATACGTTTTTACTCGACACGACTCACTGTTTTACATTCAGTAAAACTAACGGTAGTTGTAGATGATGAAGGGGAAGTTGAATTCCGCATCATTTCTGATGGAGATTTCGATTCGCTTACGAAAGCTGAAAGAATAGGAGCAGGAGGAGATGGAGTTGTCGAAGTTGCAACACGTGCCAATCTATCCTCTATTGATAGGCTTGTTTTTTGATCAGATTCAGAAAAAGTAATTGATTCGGATGCAGACGATCCACCCTTATCCGTATCGCTATTTTTCGATTCAGCAATAGAAGCAGTCTTTTCTTCGCTACAACTTTCGCTATTTGATTTGGAAGATAACCTGAATTGTAAATATTCACAGGAATGAGCAGTATGCCATCCATCTTATTTTTCTTAACACAATCTAAATATATATTCATGATGATTCCTGGTAGTGACCAATGTGAACTGTAGTTAAAGCACAACTTCCCATCAATTTATGACACCTGTTATAGACTATCATAATACATTAATTTTATACTATCCACATGTCAATTGTTTTCATTAAAGTTATTTTGATGTTTTCGGTTAAAGTTATTTTGATGTTTTCGCTGCTCTGAGTTCGATATGACAAATTTGAATATGTTCAATTCATTCAATTTTAGTAAAAAGAAAGAAAAAAACATACAAAAGACAAACTACAAGCAATGCCAGAATATAAACAATGCTTCAATTTATGCATCCTTTTTTAATTTCCATATGACAGAACCACTTCATATCAAGCATGGAAATCGAAAAACATTTTTATAATTTAAGCTAAAAATATTCCCAATAAATACATACCTCTCTTCCTCTGAGAGAGATTCAGAAGTGTCAGGCTGCTGTTGTTTCACAGGGAAAGGCAATCGAACTTCTACAGATGGAGAAGGAGAATTATTCTCAATAATGAACGAGTAATCACCTTCCTTAAGCTCTTTTTTTTCATCTCGTTCGTCCAGTTTTGTTTTCTTTGTCTTTTCTTCCGTAGACATTCTTAAAACAGAAGTAGTCGAACCAGCTCTAAAAAATTTTCGAGATATAAGGAAAGATTAAGATTGATAAATCAAGAAAGAAGCTCCATTCTGAAAGAGATTTATCCCATTAAATTCAACAGTTATTCAGCTGAGTAACTTGACTAGTGATTTGAAAGAAATGATTTAATGAGGTATAATGAGATCTTAGTTATGACAATGACGGGTGAATCAAAATAAGTAACTAGTAATTTTACTTACATTCCTTTTTAGAAATCTGCTAATAAATTAAGGACTTTAAAAATTAGGACCTTTTAAGTGGTGCATTAGAATGTACTAATACACTAACAGAACTGTTGGAAGTTAGTCTCAATCGCTCCTTTTCTTGCATTCCTTCTAAGTATTCAACGATATCTTTATCAGCAACATTTAATACTGTTTCACCCTATAAGCATGAAACAATTATTGCAATTCAGTTCAACGCTTGGTTACTCATTCATTTCAAACTGTTGCTAAAAACATGAGATAGATAATAAGCTAATCAATTTAATCTGTAAGCTCAAAAAATAGATATCTGGATCCTGAGTCAAGAGTTATCTTCTATCATTTGCTTCCATCCATTCTATTCCTATTATATTAGACCATCTTTCAAACAGAATTATCATTGTCTAAAATGTTTCATACCAATACACTGTACTAATACACTAACAGAACTGTTGGAAGTTAGTCTCAATCGCTCCTGTAATATTTATTACCATTACCAAAGGATGAAAAAAAAGCTATGTCTGCAAAATATCTATTTATATAATACTAACATTGTTGGTGAGCTCGGAGAAAGAAGCACCATTTTGAATAAGAATAGCAGCAGCCTCATGCTCAGCCCAATGTGCAGCAGCATGAAGCGGGGTCCAGCCATCACGATCACGGCAATTCACGTCGGCACCAGCTTTAAGCAACAATCTTATTACATCGTTATACCTGAAATTTAACTAATGAACTAATGGTACTTCTATGTCTTTTCAAGAGAACAAACCAAGTGATTGTTTATGCACAAGGAAGGATAAACCAGGGGCGGAGAGAAAAAATGTTGAGAAGTGTAGTATTAGTTCCCATCCAATTTTAAATGCTAGAAAGCCATATTCCAGTACAACGATCTAGAAGTAAAAATGATACGCATATTGTGGAGAATGGGCAGTGAAAGAAAGATGTTCTCGCAGGAAGATTAAGTTGTATTACTGATAACAAGAAACTGTGAGAAATAATTACTACGAGCCATAACAACCAAGTGCTACCAGCCACATTCAAAGCAAATAAACTTAAACATTAAAAATATGCAGGTCATGGTTAAGAACATGCATTGAACATATAATTTTCGGGAAAAATAACTCGTAATGAAACGAATAAAAACCCTTTTGCAGCTGCGACATGAAGCGCAGTAGCACCAGTTCGAGAATGCGGATGATCATGCATTTCACCATCTTTCAGCCATTGCTCTGCATCACGTCTCATTATTGTTAATTCTCTGTAATACACAGTAGTGCAATGTAAGCCTTTAAAAAGAAACTAGACCAACTAAAACTAAATTTTTCTTCAAATCGAAGACTCAGAATTCTTGACCATATTCCTAGAACTGAAATATATATGGATGCGGCAGCGTAGTTATAAACTTGACGCATTGTACATGAATTAAACAAAAAATGCTCACAGTTATAGCGGATAGGTCTTCTTCGAGATCCGTTTACTAAACTGGAAAAGATTTCGGGTAATATAACTACATTGACACATAAAATCAATGCTATTTCTTACCTATTTCGGCATTCATTAGGATCTATGCCTTGTCGTTGATGTTCCTCTTCTAAAGCCAAGCGACAGTCATCTTCTTCTGCCAAATCGACAGCTAATTCCTTATCGCTATTCGTTACAGAAATATCGGCACCTTCCCCACACAGATACTCGACTAAATCAACATTTCCACAGCAAGCTGCTGCATGTAATGGAGTCCAACCTAAAAAAAGTGAACAAAAGGCCTAAGGGACACGAGTTTTTTGTTTAAATGGTTATCAAGATAAAAAGAATACATTATTCGCCATGAAAATATGGGAGGCTCATGATCACTAATCTCTAGTAAATAAAGCAAAAAAAATCACACGAACAAACCTTCATTATCTTGTGCATTAACGTTAGCTCCATGCTCCACCAAAAACTGCACCATTTTTGGTTTCCCATCTATGACTGCCTTGAATATAATTTGAATAAGCACTTATTGGAACAGTAGAAATTGAAAATTGGATTATACCTTTTTCTCACCAGTTAGCATGTAGATTGAAGCGCTGGCTCTAATTTTCATTTCAATAGTTGGGTATTTGTTAAGATTTTCTATAAAAACGAAAAGGATCGGCAAATATCATGTATTAAAAATACACTATTGTTGAAGCAGTGAAACCTAAGAATTAGAAAGCCAAAGAAAATTCTAAAGACAGATTTTGAAGAAAGAAATTTACTTAATTCGACTACTGAAGTCATTCAATTTAAACATGACGAATAACCATCAATTAAGGAACTGCAATGAAAAAATAACCTGATGTAAGGCTGTAAGGCCGTCAACTGTACTAGTATTAATATTTGCACCATCACTGAGTAATGTCTGCACTTCCTCCAAGTCACCACTTAAACAAGCACTCAGAAATATGTCTTCATCCTATAAAGTCTTTTTGGCTTTTAGACGCCAGTTATTATGTAAAAAACCTCCCCACTATTATTACAGGATTCACTGCTAAATTCTCCAGCAATAGCATGCTTACATTTTCATAACATAATGAAATAAGAAATCATGACTTCAATTGTGGATTGGATCATCTTTCATCCATATAGCCAAACTGCTAATGAAAAAATTTACTGTCACAATTAAACATATAACAGCTACAATAAAGAATTTATTAGTAATTACAGTTTCTGATATACATCAACTGACTTACAGTAAACCTGACTTTCGATTCACGACTAAGCTTTCGGACCGATGGTAAACGATTCGTTTCTGAAGTTTCCCATTTCACCAGTTGCTCCTGAAATAAAATAAGATAAAAGTAAAAATCCCGAGCCCTTCTATAAAAAATTTTAATTTGAAAATTCTGAAAGATTCATTGGCAAATCTATCTCAGTAGCTTTTCCCTTCAACACTGCCAGCATTCTTTGTGAATTGATAACAGATATCGTTTATGGCTGCAAAAGAACACGATTTGCTTCTTCAATTTGAATTTGTTTTGAACATCCTCAAACAATCGAAATGATAATAAAGTAAAAAACTGAACAAGGTTTCATCATCCAATGAAAAATAAAAAGATCGAACCGAAAAATAAATATTACATGAGGGCATCTTATTCAAACAAATTTAAATGAGATAAAATTTACAATGAGAAGTAAACCAGCCGACACTTTTCAACCACCATTTTTCCTCTCCTTTTCTGTAGGAAAAAAATGATGATGTCTGCATTTACGCAATATTGCAGATATAAGCAATAATAAAACAATGATCTCTATTATCCGATCCTGTTAAACATTGTGCAAAGAAAAATGAATTTAAGACCGAAAAAAAGACTTCGCAGAGGAGTGTTATAGTCCATTAGTATTAACTCCTGAAAATGTCAAGAATAAGACGAGGTAGAAGGGGAACAATAAAACATAAATATGGAAAGGATTCTCAATCCAAGTTATATTTTTATTCACTTTTGAAGCAAATTTAAATTACGAACATCACGAATATGGAAGGCATTATGTTCAGAATATCATACTTGCTTCTTGCCATCACGCACAAAAACGCAAAAGATCAGTTAAATGAAAAAAAAGACTGTTTGCACTGTATGCACCCCTTTTAAATCCCTTAAATTGAAATCAGAAAATGTATAAAAAATAGCGAAGAATACCAGCAGAAACCGAATATTGGTCATCTCTACAGGATGCTACAACTACCATCACTCTAAAGCTGATGCAGTTTCGATAAATGAAACGTCGTCTGCTTAGTAAATGCAAAAACATGAAGTACAACATTTTTCTGCTCAAGGGAAAAACTATTTGAATATTGCTGGCTGAAAAGCTTTTCATAATACTCAAAACTAATTCACATCCCTAACTAATTAATAATCAAAGGTCAAAATGTTGTTTATCAGTGGACTTTCTAGTATTATTTAGTCTACATACGGAATTTAGGTGGCAAGACTTTATGACTTTATGATAAAAGAAAGCATACCCTAAAAATTTGATTCGCCAACCTTACGCACAAAAGCGAGTCTCATACACGTTTCAGCATAGCTGAACTCATTTATTTTAATATCCAAGATGTTTTGAAGACTGGCAGGAATAATGAGAGACTGCAATTACCGAAAAAAATCCATTGTTACAATATGGAAAACGAAGAAACTCACATTGTGACTCCAACAAAAAATGCCCTCGTCCTTATCAGCCAAAACTATGAATGAAGGACTATTAGATTTATTTGGCTATGAATAATGGCATTGTCAGATTTATTTGAGCTAACAAAAATACATTTCAGAACATTAAAGTATAAATTATATTATTTTTTACTAAAATTTAATGAAAATTTATTAGAATTTACAGTAATCAATCACTACAGCGATAAAAAAATAGCGTAATTTGATTCCACATTTTAGAAAGACTGGGTAATACTTTTTCAATATCCATAACAATGGGCAGAATAATCAGAGAGATATAGCCTTTGGAAACAAAAATTAGGAAAGAAGTAAGCCATATATTCAATAAAGACTAAAAATATACGAAAGAAGCGAAAACATACTTTTCGCTTCCAGAGAACATTATTGGCCAAAATATTCTTGTTCTGTTGAAGGAAAGCGAAGTGGGACGTTTCCAACCCGAAATCCGAATCCTCTCTCACCATTCCACTGTTCATTCGTTCTTTTTATATCGAAACAACCAATACTCTAGTGTAAATAGCAGAAACAAGAACACAGAAGAAAAAGCGATTTGATCCAGGCAAATTGGTTGCTTGATCAGAAGTATACAAGGAGAAATGATTACACATTGCGGTTCCCGTATGCCATCGAGAACGCCATGTTGCGGCTTGCTGCTGCTTGTTTTCTTTACACTTACTGTGACTGTTCTTGTCAATACCTCAAATTAGGTTCTTGTTAGGGATTAAATCGGAAATTAGATGGGCTTTTTCGAGATTGAACGACCACAAACACTGTTACGGATTAGTACAAAATAAGCTCAAAAGATAGAATTTACATCTTCGATCTCGAAATGTCACGATCTCTCAAAATGAATCGCTTATTAGAATGATATTCTGACATCTCTCGACAGCCAAGACAACTCAGAAGAACTTCGACATTACAGTGATGTCTTGATATTCCTGATAACAGTAGTGCCAATATTTCGATACTGCTAGTGCTAGTAACGCTATTAAATGCATTGAAAAGTGTAGCCAGAATCACAATAAAAGTGCTATAAAGGCTGATAATACAATGATAGTAGATACATCCACTTATTTTACTACTGCAAGGACCGACCGCGCAAAGCACTGTCATCATGTCAAGGGTCCCTTCTTGACAATTCCTTCCACCCAGTCCAATCAACTAACAATCCTCTCTTCTCTCTCCTCTTCAAACTCATTCTTCCTCTCCGAGAAGTCTAAAATTGCCATCTTCATATATCATCTCTCTGAATTCCACTTCCTCTACCTTTTCTCTTTATGCATTAGATATTTATGTCTGTATGTCAAAGCAGGTGTGTCTGCAGACGTATGTATGTATGTATGTATGTATGTATGTATGTGGGTGTATATGTATGTGTGTGTAAATGTATGTATATATACGTGTGTGTATCTGTATGTGGATATAAAATATGCGTGTAAAACGAGTGCATGTGAGTATATGTAAGAATATATACATGTACGTGTTGTAGGTGTGCATATGTCTGTGAGTGTAAGTGCATGTACATTGGATTTTTAACTATTACCCAATATTTTGATTCTTTCCCCACCTGCTCTCCCGCCGCACTGCGTCGTGTTAACGCTCTCCAAACGCAGTAAATCGCAGTACAGTCCATCATCCATCACTATTTATTTACAATTTGCATCACGATCATTATCGTTACCATCGCTATAATTATTAATTACTAGTGTCGCCACTATCATTACCGCTGTCACTATCACTACCATCGTTATCATCATCATCATCATTATGACTGCTGTCAATGCCTCTATCCCGGCACTACTGCTATCGTTATCGCTATTATGATTATCGTCCGGCACCATCGCTGTCATTATCACCACTGTCATCAAAACCACAATCATTGTCCCGATCATCATCAGTCGCTATCATTGTAGCTCTCACTACTGTAACATTGGTCAATATATTACTACTATCACCATCTTCCCTATTGTCAATATACTACTACTATCATCTCTATTTATAATCTTCATCGTCAGCACCATTAATAAACATACAAACGAAATAGAAATATAAATCGTGAAACTGCAGAAATCTTATTCTCACAGTTGCTAAACAATCGATAACCGCAGTTTCATCGAAAAATTGTGTGCCTTGTCCCTTTACTAGTGAAAGTGCGCAAGATATCGTCCCCAACTCCGTCATCATCCAGAGGAAGGAATTCCCGAATACAACCGAACGGTTCTAAGATGAACACCGATTTCCAGAATAGTCAGTTACATCGGTAGCAAGCTATTCTGACTTGGAAAGAGCGCACTGCAACTACCACTTCTCTTCTTGCATTAATTAGATGGTTAACTCATTAGCCAAGCATTTTTATTTTCTCCATACAGAAATGTTCCTTTCAATGCCATTCTTATGCCAAACTAAGTTTAACACGATTAAAATAAACTAAAAAGCTGAATAACACAAAAACTTGACTTGACTTATTAAAAATCGAATTTTTATATGAACAAAAGTGAAGGGCAATAAGAAAGGGTCGAAAGTAACTGATCCGGAAATAATTAAATGAGCTAAATAATCTCAGGAAAATAATCACAGCAAATAAAATCAGCCATATCAGGATAAACTTGGTTATATTTCCCAATATGAATAATTTTAATTTACAGTAAAATTTTGCAGTGAATAATAGTCATCGCTGTCGCTTTTCATTTTAACTTGTATGTATGTAAATAAATCAGTAGTCCATCTCACAGCAAGTCTAAGTTTCAACTTAAATATTTATTCATAGTGTTGGAGAGAGCGTTCGACTTCTTGACGCCTTTCTCATTCCCACTTTCATTTCCATTGTTTTCTTATTTACTGTCGCCTCGGTTGTTCTGCAGATCCACTAAATACTTCATCAATAAAAGTTTGATAATTGAAGTATGTTAGGAAGAGGAAATAAATTGAGAGTGCCTCTTTAATTTTGAAATTTTGACTGAGAACCAGGGCTTGAAAGGCTTCAAAATTCCTGGTGTGATAATGTGAATAATTGTGCAACCAAAGGGTATCAGCAGTAATGAGCAGTAACGCACCAAAATGGTAGTTCGAGAATGCCTAGTAGGCATTGTAGCAATTTTTTTACTCTTGTAATAAATGATTAGCACGGGAACAACGAATATTCGGAGTGAAAAGATATGAAGAGTGCTGATAGAGAAACCGGTTATTTGGACTGCGCAGTTGCTTACAGCGCAGAAAAAAAAAGTTCCCTTTTCACGCAAAGAACATGACATCTCAAGCTATATAGCAAGGAAGCTAAAGCTAAATAAATGGGAAGATTGTGTCATTCGAACGAGATCCACATGATCCTTTGCACTGACAGGTTTTGTAGAGTATCTCACATACATATCGAACTACTTCAGTTTAACATCTCTACATTTTTTACCGATCAAAAACAAATACATTGAGCCAAAAGCGCTGTTGAGAAGTGCTGCAAAATGAGGAGAAGGGAAGAAACCTAAGAAGAATGGATGGAGAAAGTGAAGCTGGGGGAGGAAGGAAATTGATGCCTGAAAAAGCTGTGACATTGTTTGGAATAAAGATTTCGAATTCTTTGGATTCATTGGTGAAATGGTAACTCTGTCATCCTGCCCCATTTCTTGCAAAATTTGATTATAGTTATTCACTTTAGTTTGAATTAGAACAATGTCATTATGGAAGTTGCAATAAAGCAAGATAAAATTCTCAGATTCATTTGTGAATTGAAAAAGGTCTGTTGCATAGGATAAAAGTGAGGAATAACTATGTTGTGATACGATCATTGATACGACAAATCGGTCCAGTGGTTAAAAGCGTTATTAACTTCTTCACCTATTATTGTCCTTCAAGTACCAGAGTCCTGCAGTGGCGAATCATTGTTTGATATCATTTACCAAATTCACTATATCTAATATTTACATTAGCATTGAAATTTTGCAAATGCGCATTTGTAAACAAAAAAAAACTCGCAAATGGGTAACAATAAGATTTTCTGAAAATGTTCGAGTTTGAACTGGATACCGCCGTACTACTGGTTGAGATCTGGATCCGGATATCGAAGTTTGACTGCCAATTCGACTTAATCTAAGACTTTTTAAAAAAGTGGAAGAAGACATATTATAATGAATGTTACACGTAATGATTTTAATGGTGACTAGTACATTTACCAGTGGTTGTGATAATGCTATGATAATTTCTAGCACTTCGAAAAATTTCGAAGCCCATTTCATGTTAAATTTGCATTGAATCCTACTGTAATTTTTTTTTCTTTAAATTTTAATAGTTTTAGAAGAAGTCTAATCGATCCTCGAAAAACCAACAACGATGATGGGCGTTCACTGTCGCCGATTCTAACACTGTATCTGTACCTAAGCTGTACCTCCTAGTCAAATTTAATTTAAAATTTCCGAAATTAAAAAAAAACTAATCATAAGGTAAATATAGTTACAAGTGGACAAAATGGAAGCTCATCCCAAGTTATTTGGATAATTCGAGAATTTCCCTTGCGATGTTCAGACGAACTTCAGCTTCGAAAAATAAAAGAACCAACAGGAAAATTTTCATTGAACTTTAGAAGCTTACAGTTTCCAATTTCACTTTTATTGGAAAGACTTTTGCACTAATTGTCTTTACATTTCTCTGAGGACGCAACAAAAAAAGCAATAAGATTTTCAATGTGTGAACCTCTCGTCATTCCTTGTGTCATGAGATCTCGTCACCATCAAACACATCATCCTTAAATAGTGAAAGAAAAAAAGAGAGAGATAGGCATGGTTCTGATCCATTTCACATTGTGATTTTATAAGTAACTCCAGGCGATTACTGAAACTAACATCATTAAAACGGCCAAGGACGTATATTCAACGTTTTTCAACCTTTTCGTGTCACAATTTTCTCATGTCCGGCGAGAAATTTTAGAAGGAAGTTAAAATATTTCCCATACCAAACCTTTCTTAACTACCGTACAAGAGAGAATGGAGAAAAGCCAGCATGTCATTCATTAATTAATGATATAATTTGATGAAGTGAATGTATTCGTCTAATTTTTAAATTTATCTTCGAACAGGCATACTAAACGTATTGCTGGAAAGTACTAAGAAGCGACAGTTCATTAATTTACTATCTTGTTGAAATTTCTTATTTGTGTTTTAATTTTAGCTGTCTCAGCTAGTCAACCTGGAATTCAGGATAAGACAAATGAACAGTTAATGGGTATATGAAGAACTAGTAAAAAAATATTGTGGACCTTTAACCTTTGTTGGTGGTACTCCTCGTCATTCAGGTCATTATACTCTTCCTAATATTTTTGTTATGTATGTCATGCTCGACCTTATCGACACATCAAAAAGCTATAGTGAAATCCAACAGGAAATGACTGTCTTCATCGCCGCAAGTATCGGATATCAAATGATCATCCATACAACTTTTCCACTTCTGGGGATAATGTTGCTAAATAATTTTTCTGAGTTTAATCGTTTATTTTGTTTCGAGAATTGAATTCTAAAGGGAAATATAATAAATTTAGTCATTAAAAATTTCTACTCAATGTAAATTTCATTATTGAGCCAACATTTCGATGTTAAAATGATCATTCAAGGATTCCACCTCAGACTTTTTGCTGCTTAAAGGCATATTATGTCTAAACAGTTTCTGGACTTTGTAAATACTGATCAACAATTCCCGCAGTTATAACCCTCTAGTTTTTCCTCAGAAAAATTACTTTGTCTCTAAAATACATTCGATCATTCGATTAAAGGGCAATAGAAATTGTTTATTTTTTTAGGCAGAAGAGAGATAACATTTACTAAAATGAAATTATGGTTTACTTTGATTTGAGGGTATTCTATCGATCCTTCGCTATTTCTTGTCACAAGGAAATCACATTATCGCTTCCGCTGAGAACTGCTGCAAATTGTTGTGAGGCACATTGCAGTATGATTTCCACGTTTGCTAATGCTACTTTTCCATTTCGATCAAGTCATTCAATATTCTCTCCTCCTATAGTCGATAGAGCACACTTCTTGACCAAGCACAGAATACATCTTTGCGTTTATGATTTTAGCATCTGTCCTCAAACGAAGTAGGCAATTACACGCAGTTACCTGTTTTGATATTATCTTCACGAAGTGGTCACCATTTTCTTCAGAATTGTTGAAATGTGATTTTCAGGTACCTACCAGATTTTCTGCATGTTAAAATTAGCATTTAACTAGGAATAATTTAGTAGAAAGATGAAACAGAAGTACCTGCAACATGAGAGTGAGAACTAAACAGGAAAGCGAAGGAGAAAAGTTACCATCATCAGGATATACCATTTCCAATTTCGAATCCAGAACCAAATCGGAATCTTCCTTCTTTACTGTTTCAGTTAGAAGATCGTATCTCTCATTCACATTAAATGGTTATAATCAATAGAAAAGGATGGACAATGCCTACTGCAAAAAGAATATAGCAAAAGCAGTAACCGTTCCTTCATGCAGCTTGTGTTTGTATTCATCGAAAAGCACGAACATATCGGACATATCGGCTCGATCGTTGTTTCCACCATTTTTCCTGAATTTATTTATTATCTTGAACGGGAATGATCGAACAGGAATGAATTCACTGCATCGGCAGTCATGACATGTTACTTATACTTTCTAAAATGAACTTT